CAGGTGGGAGGCAGGGAGTGATGGCTTCAATTTGTGGTTTACTGAAAGGAATGGGTGAGGCATCTGGCATCTGGACCTAGGCTTTTCCATAGTCTTGATTTTCTATAGGAGAAGTGCTATAAAATTTGGCATTCTCTATAAAATGCTATGAAACTCAACATAAATCCCTTTATTTTAAACCCATATTTCTTAGATTTTGGGGAAAGTAATGGTCAGAGTAACCCTTGCTTAACTGAGCTTTGTAACCAGACACCTTGTGCAAAAATTGCTAATGTTTCCTCTATTGCCAATGTTCATCTTACATCTAAATGGCTCTCCCTGACCTCCACAGTGCCATAATCCAACCTCATTTACATCTATAAGGTTTTCTCTCCCCACTTCCCTGCAAAAATCCTCTGAGAAAAAAATTCACATTCAAAAGATTACATATTATAAAATCCTATTTGTATGATATTCTGAAAGGACAAAATTTAGAGATAACTTGCAGATTGGTAGTTGCCTAGGGCTAGCAGTTGGGGAAGCAAGAATAGATGTGGTTTAAGGGAGAACGTGAGGGAGCGCTGTGATTAGAGAAAAATTATGACTCTTCATTGTGGTCTGGCTACACCAATCTATACATGTGGGAAAACCACTTAGACATATAAATATATGTAAATAAATCCATGTATAACTGGCAAAATCTGAATACACTCTTTGGATTGTAGAGCATCACTTTGTTCGTTTTGATTTCATGCTGTAGTTATGCAAGATGTAACCATTAGAGAAACGAGAAACAGGAAATAGAAGCATACACAGAAAATTTTTGTACATTGTCTTGCAAATGCCTATGAATTTATAGTTGTTTCAAAAACTATTTCCACGATATGGTTAAACTTTTAAGAGAAAAATTAAGTTTTTGGTGAAATTTTAAAATTATGGTTCCTGCAATATTTCTTTTTAATAAAGAATTCTCTTAAAATTATCAAAGCAGATAACAACAAAGCCAAGATTACATTGCCACAGATGTGCATGCTAATTTGTTTTTTGGGGGAAGGGTCTACAGGGTGCTCAGGGTCTCACTACTAGATTGGACTAACAGTGATCTGCCTGTTTACAGCCTCCCAAGAACTGGGATTACAGGTATGTGCCACCACACCCAGTCTCAGACCTGCATACTTCAAACAAAACTTTTCTCAATGAAAAGTGGTATTTGGCTCAGTGATATTCAAGTTGCTTTAGAATTTAAGCAAGGATTTCAGAATGGGAAGGGCAGTTGCTTATCAATGTAAATGTGCTCTAACATGAAATGATAAGTTCTGAAACCATGTCAAACAAAGTAGCGGAATCATTCTAAAAACAATTATCCAAAAACAAAATTAAAAAATCCAAACAAGTAAGCAAAAAAAAAAAAAAAAATCCAAATTCCCTTAGCTTTTGTTCTAGGTGATTTGCTCTTAGGATGAAAGGCCACTCTACATCTACCACGTGTATGGTTCCAGCATTTGGTGTGATTAAATCTGAGACTAAAAACATATGCAAAACTAAAAGTAAACTTAGGGCCAGCAGGATAGCTCAGTGGACTAAGTGCAGGGGCCATGGTTTGATCCCCAGAACCACATGCCCTGCCAGCCCTGCCCCCAACCCACTGAGCCCGCCCCTGATTCCAGGTATGGTGGCACACACCTGGAATCCCAGCACTGGAGAGGCTGAAAACAGGAAGAGCACTATGAATCTGAGTTGTGCAGTGAGACCTTGTACCAAATACATAAATAAATAAATGTAACCTTAAGCACTAATGAGGCACAACCATAAAAACTCCAAGAAACAGAATAGTCCAGCGATTTACATTTAGGACAATCCCTGGGAGAAACATTATGTGGACTCTTATTCCCTTGAATTAATGTTAACATTTGAATGGATGAATGTTTTAGTGCCTTTTCTCTCATCTTAAGCCTTCAAACAAAAATCAATTTAAAGAAATATTGTTATGCAGTGATGGTGGAAACATAACAGTGGCTTTGAGCATTTTTCTTGTAGAATTCAGATGCTTTGCATCAGCATATTTCTTTCTGAAATCTCAATTTCATAAATGTTTGATAAATGGATAGTAATTTTAGATGGTGATATAAATTAATATTGAAATATTGTAAGACATATAAGAAAAAGGCAATGATGCTATAAATTAATATTGAAATATCATAAGACATTATATAAGAAAAAGGCATTCTACTTATTTTTCAGATTAGGTTTTGATTATGTTCTCCACTACCAAGTAGCTCCTGAGAGCAAGACTGGATGTGAAAGATGTCCATCAGGGTAACAAAATGGGCAACAGATATGGCCAAATTATTCATGCCCTGAGATGTAATCTTTAATCGTGGAATAAAAGCAGCATTGGTGGCCTAACTATAAAGAAATTAAGTTGGCCTACGCATGGCTCTATCTACCCAATAGGGGTCTTCACAGGACTGTCTCATAATAGGATTGGTTTTTTTTTTCCTTATTTATGGTCTGTTTCCCCAGCTTGAACATAAGCCTCCCATCTCATCTGGCTTATGCACCTTGTGCACCAGGTCTAGTCCACTTGGTGGCGCAGAGTTCAGTGAATGTTTGTTGGCTAAATGAGTACTTCATGTGACAATGCTTGGATGTTTTCTTGACTAGTAGATACTTCAAATTCTTATGAAAGCTATAAACACACTCCTTAGAAAAATGGAAGAACAGTATGTCTTCTAATGGGTTTGTGGGTCCGCTCCTGGAAGTTCTGCCTGTGGAAACTTCCTTAAGGACAAGCATAGGAGGCCCGCAGTAAGTTGCTAACTTCCCTTCCTGGTTCCTCTATGTATTCTCCAGATTGTTTACCCAAACCAGCCACCTTCCTTATCTCATGGTATTATTTTTATTTCCTACTACTTGTTATCATTAACAAATAGTCTACATATGCATATCATATTTTAGGAACAGCAATGGAAAAAGACAATTCAACTAATAAAAATATTTGTCATTTCTTATGAAGCATAAAGTCTACGTTTCAAACCTAAGAAACCTTGGCATATATTTGGCATTGTCTCATAATCTCTTTCATAAAGGTCACTTTGTGTAGAATTAGAAAGAGGGGGTAAATCAAATTCACATACACACACACAAACACACACCCTACCTGACTGTCACAGACAGAGTGGTTCAGAATAAGAGAGGTAGGAAGAAAGCCTCTTACTTAGTCGCAATGAATGATAGATATGACCATGACCACGTATACTGGAAACCTTGATGGCTAACTTGCTATAGCAGAAGAGCTGTCCTTGGTTGCCAATAATGAAGATACCCGAGAGAATCTTGCTCCCACACTGAGCTTTTGGAAAACAGAAACAGTTGTCAATCTGACCTGAGCTGTGTTGACAGAAAAACCTAAATAGAAAGGTTGACTTCTAAATGCCTTCCTAAGACTAAAGCCTTCCAACAGTCATTCTCAAGCAACTGTGAAACACTGCCATGGTAAATGAGTACTGATACTTTTGATCTTCTGATTTAAAATAAGAAAGTTTTAGAGCCACGAAATGCTGGAGACCAACATCCATACCACTTTCACTCCCAGAGGGAAGCAGCAGCTTGTCTCCTCAGCAGCTGAAATGCACGCAGAGAGGGCAGCACCACGTCCAGAGGGCAGAAGCTGGGTGTGTGCCACCGCAGCAGCAGTGGGAAGGGCCAGTGCATTAGAGACTGCGGACTCATTTAGAGAACTGTCATTGAGAGATTCCCCCTCCACCAGGGCAGTAACAGGTAAAACAGAAGTGTTGTTGACACTTTATTGAGTTGCTAAGGTTCAGAGTTTGTGCTGTAGTTGAGCAAAGAGCTTTAGCTACAATTGCTTTGGAGCTTAAGAGCGTTCTTTCTCAATGGCTCAAAAATACATCAGAACAACATTGCTATACTACTTGCACTGAAAAGCTTTCCCGTAACTCTGCAAAGAAACTTTTCAAGGACACCTTTGATAGAAATAGGTTTAAATTATTATTTCCACAACTCCACATAGGCAGCACAATATTAGGTGTGAATTATTTTAATCACATGATGTTCATTCTACCCTAAAACCTGATTCCTAAAAAAGATGAGAGACATTTAAATGTAAATAATGAGCAAAATCTTACTTGCAACTTAGAGTGACAAAAATCTTTGGAAGATTTCTCAGCTTTTCTCCTCTATATCTAGTTTTAGAAACTAGAACCAGAGTAGTTTTAAAGAAATAGAGTCAAGAAGGGTTGGTGCAAAGCACAAATAGGAAAGCAGGAACCACATAACTGAGTAATTAAATTTTTCACTTATCAAATTTAAGTCATTCTCTATTTTTAAAAGTCAACTATTAGCAGGAAGATTTCCATCTTCCAAGAACAATATAGAGGAAGAAAATGCTTAAAAAATTGAAGAAACTGGCAGCATTGCAACAACCTACCTTTCCTCCTTATTTCACATCTGCATTTTATTTCTCACAGTAATTGAGATTTACATATGACAGTGCTCAATCTAATTTATAGGTATTTCCTCTACATTGAAAGTTGATTAAAAATTTTGTGTATGTAGCGTTAGGTATTGATCTTTCAAAAGAGAAAAACCCAGCACTAGATAAGTAGTTTTGATACTACAATCGCAGTAACTACTTACACTAAAATAGAAAACAATGCTTCTAAAAAATGCCCTGATCAAAATGCTAGTTTCCAGCAACTATGTGGAAACTAGCATTCAGCAGACCGCAATTTCTATAGCTCCTAGAGTGTTCACAACACTTAGTCTATTCAAAACGGGCCACAGTTTTTTAAAACTTACACACACACACACACACACACACACACACACACACACACACACACACAATCCTCCTAAAGAGCTATTTAAAACCACCTGAGAATTCTAAATTAAGCAACCCACCATAAGTAAGTCACTTTTCAAAAGCCATGAACTGCCCCCACTGCCTGCACCTGCACAGAACACGGAAACCCCGGGCAGAGGGAACCTTACATCCATACCTATATTTCATGCCAGTCTGCTTTGCGGTGGACTCTTTGAGAGAAATGTGATGTTGGGGGGTGAATGTCCCCAGGCTGCGCGCGATGATAGCAACCGTGCGGAATTTGGCCCGGGCTGCGTTCACCACATTGGGGGCGGTGGAGCTCTGCTTGCTCAGAAGTCGGTCCTCACCATTCCGACTCTTCAAATTGTGCTCAGTGCAGGCTATGGAGACTTGCATTGCTTCCCCGGAAAGCGCACGGTCCCTCTCAGAACCCCACAGCGCAGGCAGTCACGAGAGGGTGAGCAGCTGGGGGCTTCTGCTCTCTTGCAGTCCCTCCGCGCTCCCCCTTCCTGAGGACACCTTCGGAAGAGTCCTCAAGGCTGGCTTCTGGGCGGCCGGGTGGCAGGGGTGGCTGCGCTGCAGAGCGGAGTCCCCGGGACCCAGGGAAGTAAACAGCCAGCCCCGAAGTTGTCACAGCAGTCGGAGCGCAGATGGAGCTCCGAAAGCTTCCCCGGCAGTGATCTCGGCTGATTAAGCAGCGCGATCCATGTAGTCCGGAGGCTGTTCCGCAGCCTAGAGCTGAGCATTCATGCTGACTGACACAGCCGTGCCGGAGCCAGTCCGCGGCGCCGGAGTGCAGGCTGGGCTGGGCGCTGGCTCAGATCGGCGCAGGCATGCCGCAGGACGCGCCGCCAGCACCCTCTGCCCCGGCGGTGCGCAGCCGGCGGGAGCCCCCACCAGCCGCGAGCGGAAGCGGGTCCGCGCTCCCGCGGCTTCGCCGTGTGCTCCGGCCCGCAGCTCCCTCCCTCCCCCGCGCCCGGAGGACGAGCAAGCGCCTCAGGACCCCTCCCCACTCATTGTCGGGCGAAAGCCCTGCTCGCTGAGCCCGCGCGGACTGGGGTTCGCAGCTGCGCCGAGGAACAGGCTCCCTGAAGGAGCTCCTCGCCGCCTTCGTGCGCGATGGGAAGGCGAGGATCGCCTGCTCCACTCCCCTGCTGTAACCGAATCCAAAACGGGCTCTGCACAACAGACCGAATCCTGCGGCAGCACAGCACTCGGAACTTGGGGGAGGCAGGCTGGGGGTGCTTCTGCCGCGATACGCGTCAGTGAATTGACACAGAATCCTCGGTGACTAGCTTGCTAAAGCATTGCTTCAAATCCCTGCCGTTAGCTTTGCCAGAATTTATGTCCTTTCTGAACGTTATTTCTTAAGCAGGGAAGTTTGAGGTTTCCTGAAAAAGCACAGTGCAGACTTTTGGAGTTATTTCTGCTAACTTACAACAAAATCTATTCTATTCTAAATACCAGAGGGCGGACTGGGACGCCGAGGAGAGCAGCAGTTTCGCACCGTTCAGGAGGGGCTGCGCTGGGGGAGCAGCAGGTGGCAACGCCACGCCGACAGGTCCAGGAGGCTGGCAGGAGACACACACACCTGCTGATCACCTGCGGCCAGCTGGTGAGGAAAGACGCCAGTTCAGGGGTGGGCAGCAAGGCCTCCCCAAGGGCTCTGAACTCGTCTCAGGCAGGATCACTGGTTCAGTGTCAGACGCAGAGCAGCTGCCAATAATGGATGTGGCTGGGTCAAATGAAGCACCAAGGGGCTGAGAATTTACCTGTCCGCTGAAAATGCTTGAAAATCAACCCTCTCTCAATTTTACTTACAATAAAAATTTGGCTTCCTACAAAGTCAGCTTTCTAAAGGTGATGCCCAATAGACAATGCTGTCAAGCAAAAAGCAACAGCATTTAAACAAACGATATTTGAAGATACCATTTCTGCAGCAGGTAATGGAGGTCAATATGGAGGGGACACAGTGAAGCAGTCTCCCTCCTCAAAGAACTGATGATCTGCACAAGTTTACCAGAGTAGCACTCTGGAAGGATTCCAGGAGCCTGGAGAAAGTGCTTCTTTTGATCCACTCCCTGTGTTTCCAGTGAGTCCCTGTTAGGCACCTGATTGTGCTTGTTGTAGGGGCCCTAAAGGCACTCAAAGGGAATCAGGCTGCATCCTGGAAGGTGGGGCTTTGCAGGGACATGAGGAATGAATCAGATTTGGACTGCAGGTACAGAGGGAGGCAGTCGGGAGGATACACACCTTGGCTGTGATAAGTGATTTAATTTTTTTGTCTGACTATTTCTTCCCAACGAAATGATGTTATAAGAATAACATTTACAAAAAGAATATGTTCCTGTGTTGAATCTATTCCTAGACATGAATAAAACACTTTGTAACATATAGATAAGATTTAAACCTAATTATGGAATCTCATCTTCTATCCTCCATACCCTTCCCACTCTTCACTTAAAAAATAATTATGTTGGCTGAATGTTTAATAATTGGGAAGTAGCTTTAGGCTGAGGGTGATATTAGGCCAGTGAGGTGGTAGAAGGTACAAAAACCCCTTTTCTGTACCCTTGGTTCCAATGGAACGGTGGAAATATCTTTACTCCCTGGAATAAACAACAGTGGGCAGAGAGGAAGCAGATCACGGGAATCTTTATTTTTGCATGCTAAGTCAGCTCATCAGAGATGATCAATGTGAATGAGGAAAGGAGTCCAAATGAGAATAGGAAGAAGTGGGAGGAATCAGAAGAAACAGCTCAAAAAAGGGGAAAAAAAATAAAACAGGCTGGCAGTCAAGACAGAGTGAGGTGACAACATCCTGCCTGACCAGTCAAGAGCCAGCAGCCTCAGCCTGCGATGAAAAGTGCTGCCAGGTCTACAGACAGACAGGAAACTTTGAAAGGAGGGCAGGCCTATGACACTGCTAGCCTCAGTGGATTTCAGATTTGCCAATGAACTAGCAAAGCGATGACTGCAAACATACACAAGACCAGACAGGGAATAGATTGGCAGAATGAAACATGCAAGGCAGAGCCTCTGAGTCACTCGAGTCTCCCACAGGACAAGCAGAGCCCACAGTATGTGTAGGCCTCACTCTATAAATGTGACAGAGGAGATGTGGAAAGAAAGGAGTAAGGGGGCAGAGGGGAAAGGGATGCAGCTGGATGGGAGAGGCCATATTCCTGGATGAACTTCCTTAAAAACAAAAACCAGAGAATCCTGTGCATCTTACTTTAAGCTAAACTGCTTGTGTCAAAGGAATGAATAACTGTCCCACATTCATGTCTGTCCCTCCTGTGTGTAGACAAGTGTCTCAGCCTTCAGGACAGGCCTCAAAGAGCATCAAAGAACTGAGGCCAGAGGATGCTTACAGTGTAAGTCTCTTTCCTACTGCCCACAGTGCTCCTCTTCAGATCTGGTACCACACAAACCTTCTGTCAGCAGCCCCATGGCTTCCCCCAGCCATGCTAACTCTCCCCGCCATTGCTGGAGCAGGCAGTAGCCTGAAAAGTAGGTAACAGTTGGCTATGAGGGTGCTCAATTTTGATGAGTCCATGCTAGAAGGCCACGTGCTAATTAAACTGGGGGAATACAATTGAAATATGTACCCTTTTGTCACCACACAAAAGGAGCCAGAGGAGTGTTCACTGTTATAATTTTGAATTTTCCTAAGACCCACAAATATACAGAGAGATGTGGAAGTAAATGTAGATATAACTATATGTATGGACTGGTTGATGTTCCAGTTAATGTTTTGCAGCCTTAACTCCCTGATACCTTCTGAATGTAGCCAGGCTGTATTGGGAACTAAAGTCTTTTCAGAAGTTCTGGAGACAAAATGAAGTCAGAAGGGTGGGGTCCACATGGGCCCCACCCAACCTACCATGGTTCCTGCTTTTCTCAGAAGAGATCAGAACACAGACATTTGAGGACATGGAGGAGATAACCATTCCCCAAGCTGAGGAGAGTCTTCATAAGAAGCCAATACCTCATTGTCAAACTTCCAGACTCCAGTACTGCAAGAAAATAAATTTCTGTTGTTTAAGGCATCGATCTGTATCACTTTGTTGTGGTAGCCTTAATGAACTAATACAGAGACAGGCACAGGTTGTTTTGTTTTAATTTTTTGCATTAGTGGTCATAAGAAACTGTTGGCACTCACTAAAGAAGATGCTTGTAAAAACCATGATTAGATCATGGTAAATAGCATTATCTTACGACTTGACACACCCTGAAGCTGATTTTACACATGTGCCTCCCAAGAGCTCTACATACAACTGTACTTGTTCTCCATGAAGTCAGAGCATCACTATATGGTGACTCTGGATAGAAGTAGTGGTCTTCAAGCACTTTTAGTTTTTCCCCTGGGTGTAGTCATCTCCTTATTCTACCATGTTTCCTTTAATTTTGCTGTTAATCCCCTTAAAATACTTATCATTTTTGCCTCTTTGTGGATAGCTTTACAAGGTATGACTAAAAATACTGAATGTTGCTACAAAATGCCAGTCCAATAGAAATAGAAGCTCATAAAAACACTTCAGTGTGTTCTCAACCACCTTATTCAGTAGGTCGGCAAGATATGACTTATAACTCTTCCCCAAACTGAATATGACCATAAAAGGTAAATATTCCGAATTGATTCAGGGCAGCCACTACTTCAGACAATGGTATGAATAATTGAATAAATGTGTTTGAAGCAAACAAGAGTACTTCAAGGGGGATTGATAGTAATATAACTTTTACTATACAATAATTTTAAAATGTTAAGTATTTCTGTATTTTTGACCCCAGTTTGAGGATAAAAGAGATGTAGAGATTGCAATATTGAACACAGCAAAATTATTACTTACTCTTCAAATTTTCTTACCACTGGTTCCTATTCATTACCTGACATTTCAAATTCTTTGGCGTTCATGTCTACCACATTGGATCACAGAGGCAGTGCTGTTCAAGAGCAGATCACAGCACATATAACCTGCATCCCAATGTCTTCCCCTCATGCTCATCCTAAAGACTTCCTGGACCTTGCGGACTTTAGGTAGATTACACAGCAGGTGAGAGTGAACCCCAGCCCTTCCTTGCCTCTTCGTCTTTGCGGACATTGAGCTGGATGCTAACCTTCCTAGGTCTCTGTGACCGCCCACAGAAAAATAGTGTAAGAGAATGGCCCTCTAGAGGACAGACTACCATCATGAGCTCATTCTCTGGATGAGGAAACAGGCCATGCAGAGAAGTTCAACACCTTTCCCAATGTGACAAAGGGAGAGCTAGAACTCAAAAAGCCCCACTTTCCACCTCCAGGACTTGGTCCTTAACCCTTTGCATATAGCTTCTCACTGTAAAACCTATGAAAAGGGCTTCAAATGGTGCCATTTTATAAGCATGATTTAAGAATAAACATTATTATGAGTGATAGAAATTCAGTGCAAAAAGTCTACAAATTTCAGAATGTTTCAGTCATACATGCTTTGTACTTTTGAGCATGTATATGCAGTCCTCTTAGTACTTATGATTTATATTCTATTTGGAAACTACAGGCAGCAGGAATGAGAAATCATTCAATTATGCAGCCAGGCAAAACCAGATTTATCCAAAACAGAAAAAAAAATCTGCTAATATTGGAAGAATTTTAAACATCCAAATATACAGATGGCAAACCACTTTATGTGTCTAGCATTTGTGCTTAAAAGAACTGTTAGGGTGAGAGTTTGCTATTATCAGAGAATTTTCTACCAAAAACCTTCAAAATATTACTTTGAAGATGTGGTGGTTGATACATTGTATTAACTTGAGAGATTGGAAGTTTGGCTGGATCAGCTCATGGAGGGGGAGAGCCCACCCTACAGTGACTCAGCACAAAAACAGCATATAAAGGGGATGAGGAAGGCTTCAGCTCACCACTTCCTTGGATGAGCTCAGGTCTTCACCGTCAGCGTGGAAGGAAGGGAGAGGCTTGCTAGATGCCATAGCTGTGGCTCCTTCCCTTGCTCTTCCATTTTCTGCTATCATGAACTGCTGC